AAAAAAACCTAATCATCTTTTGCTCATTTTGCACCACTCATTTTCCTATCCTTTTGTACCTAAAACACATGATTTGGTTGAATCATTTTCGTTACGTACTTTGCTTATTTGTGTCTCATCTTCGGCATAAATGTCAATCTTCCTAATCTTTTCTAGTTCTACCTAAATTCCTCATCATTTTGAAGAGAAAATTTCAAATTTCTTGGAAATCTTGAGAATCAAATCTACTTTCACACGAAAGACTTAATCAAGCCAAGCTATTATGAACAATATATCTTTAATAACTATCTAGTAGACTAATTCTTTTGATCTTTAGACCTTAATAGCTACACAAAGTGCTTAAACATGTAATACATACATAGTCTATATTTATAACTCATTGAGTTATTTTAAAGGATAATGATTAAAATTCTCTTTAGTTTAATATATCCCACAACACAGTTATTAAGAAATTAACATTTTCAAATTTAATTTAAGGCTAGAAAAATTTCAACTGCATAATATAATAGCTAAATCAGTGGATATTTATAAATGTGTTAAATTAGAGTGTGTATCAATTATTTTCTTATTTTAAAAAGATCATGATAATTTTGACATATATTCTTTTCAGCCTTGAACACTTGAAAGCTACACTAATTAACTGGCTGTAAATGGTTTAGCAAGTTTTGTTCACTATTTTAGAATGATTATTCCACAATCAAAACCAAACATTTAGTAGCCAGCATATTACTATGCAAGTCCAAGCATGAAGCAGATTGATAAAAAAAAAAAAAAAAAGCTCCGAACAGCAATTATAACTACTAGAAAACAAAGTTTAATCGACGAAAATTTTTATTGATTATAAGAGAAATTCTATTGACTATAAGTATAATTGACATACATAATTGACAGCCAACTTTGTTGAATAAATGAGGATCGAAAATAAGCATAATCGATAGCTTTTTCTGTTGATTATATTTGCTCCAGCAATAAAAAAAATTAGAATTAAAAATGTAAATTTTTAATTTTGCAATTATTAAGTAAATTATAAAATCATTAAATAAAATTCAATGATAAAATCAATCAAGTGCAACAACAATATATATAAAATAATTTTGAGAATAATTGAAAAATAAGAACAATATTCAAATATTATGAGATTAATAGAAAAACAAGATAAATGACAAGTAATTTACCTATAGTGAAATAAAAAAATCTGTAAAAGAAAAAGTATTGTTATACATTATAAAATTTTATTCAAATAAAAAGAAATGAAAAATGTAAATCAAAATGTGAATTTACCTCATAAAATAATTTTAAGTTTAATAATCTGCAAAAAAAAGTAAAAAATTATTAGTAATCAAATAAAAATAATTGAATGATAAATGAAAATAACCAAAAATAAAGAAAGAAAGAAAGAAAGAAAATAAAAACCTTGGGATGAAAGAATGAAAGAAAATGAAGGAAAAGTAGAAGGATGACAACCAAAAATGAAAATAGAAAAGGTAGAAGGAATGATGAAAGAAAAGTAGAAAGAAGAGGGAAAGATGAAGACATGCAATGCAAGAATTAGAAAGGTAGAAGGAAAGGGAGAAGATGAAAGAAGAAAGAAAAGTAAAAATGAAAGGGAGAAGAAGAAGATAAGAACGAAGGGAGAAGGGAAATGGGGTGAAACATATGTGGGAAAGGAACACTACAAGCAGATGTATCTAAAGTGACGGGAAGTTTTCCATCTGTTTACACCCTTTTTTCGTTAGTATAGATCTCCAAGGACTATTCCGATGGAAGAGCTTTCCGTGGGTAGAAATCTCATCAGTATAGGGTCTATACCAACGCCCAATCCGTTTGTATAGACCCTTGGGATCTACTCTAATGGAAGATTTATCCGTCGGTATAGACCCTAAGAAATTTTAAAGAATTTTTTCATCTGTATAGACCTATACATTTATTGATGGATAATTCCGTTGGTATAGACCCTAAATATTTAAAAAAAAAATTTATCGTGGGTATAGACCTTTACCTTTACAAACTAACTGTGTTCTGATATGGTTGACCCAAAAAAAAAAAAAAATCTATATTCTAATGCGTGTAATGCATGCCTAAACCTAACATTAGTTTGACTAACTAATTGAAAATAAAGCTGGACAGTAATTAGCTGGGTGGATGCAAAAGATGTAGATGTAAAAAGTTTGATAACTAATTTTAAGCTAACAAGTATATTCCAATCATCAAAGTGAATAAAAAAAATTTTATGTTACTTATATTAGCTTCAAGACATTTAAAAAAGAAGAAGAAAAAGAAAAGATCAACAGAACTTTTTATTCAACTAGCCATGACTAGCACACTTAGAAAATACCCAAACAATTCTTTTACCATCCACCCTATCATAAAGTACAAGCTTCTTACCTTGCAGTTCTTCAATGGAGGATGCCATAGAGGATGTGGCCATTTGCTTGGAACTCTTTCAATTAATGCAGAGGTTGTTAGTCTGTTAAATAACAGATAACAGAAAATCTCAAGATAGAATTCTATGTTTCCAGATATAATTACCATGGCATAACAGAACAGTTACTACAAAGCTCCACTAATTCCCAATCAATTATAAAGTATGTGATAAGATAAAACAAGGCCAAAGCATAAATGCATAATGTAGATTTTGAAAAACCATAGATATGCCTGAATACTATTAAGTAAAAAAAAATATAAAGATGAAAGGAATTTATCTCAACGGGGAATAGGCTAACATAAGCAAGATTAATTTAGCACACCAAAGTACATAAGTAACTAAGTAGGACTTACAATAGAAGAACATGTCATAAGTTTGTAATAGCATCACAAAGATAGAAAAGGCATGTGAAAGAGATTTAAAACCTTTCAGAAGACCCAAGTGCAGAAACAATTGAAGTGCTTTTGCTTGTGTTACCAACTTCACTTCTGGAAAACAGAAATGGAGAGACAGTTAGTACAAATCTATCTTAAAGACAGAACTCCTTGCATATGGCTTGCAAGAAAGTGGAACATATAGGGACCTTACTTGCCACAGGAGTTTACTATTGTTTAATATTATTCGCCTCAACTCTGATTTACAGCATCACATTTTTTGAATTTAGACTCTCACCAAGATAAGTCTAGTCTATTCTTTTTGTCCACATGCATCCACCCATGAATTTTCACAGATGAAGCTAACCAGATATTAAAATGTGTATCACCTGTTGACTAAACGAAAGTCTCATTCTTTCAAATATTAAAATGTGTATGTGTGTGTGTGTGTGTGTTTGTGTAAAGTTTACCTTTTTGCTTCTTCCAAGCCTTGAGTGAAACGAGGTTTCTTGTACTTTAGATGGAAGGAAGAGAGAAGTCCTTTAAGAAATGAGACCACCAGTTTCAGTTTTATTTTGGTAATTACCAGAAGAAAATGGCATCAGCATTCAAGAAAAAAGTAACATATTAATGCAACCTGGAAGATCAGATTTCCCACAATTTAATGAGAAAAAGAAGACCTCGCAAAATCATGGGTACCAAAGAATTGTACGGGAATTGATCTTTCTCCCTAAATTTTGCTTAAACCCTTGCAACCAACAATAAGGGATTCATCCACAACAATTGCTGGCCACAGAGCATGACCTACACTACAAAACCAAAGGATCAGTTATAAGCAAATTGAGCAAACCATGACCTACACCACAAAACTAAAAGATCAATTACATATCATAACCTGCTCAGCCATGGTAACATATTGTGGCCTGTTAATGCCTGAAAAGAACAAGTATGCACATAAACTCAATAATAAAATTGTACAAGACCTATTTTTTTTTTGGTTTTGGAGACAAATAAAAAATGATTATAAAATAATAATAAAAAATTGGGGCACCCATAGTTGATAAGCTGTTTTTGAAATCCCATGTGTCAACTGATGACCAGAGATTACAACAATGATCTTTACAGAACAGCTAAATAAAACCCAAGTATTGCTAGCCAATGATCACCAACACAAACAAGGGTTGATAGTCCTTATTTCTCGTGAAGTTGAAGAAGGGTTTCCATGTAACATCTTAAAATAAAATCAGCACCACTACCGTTTTCAAATTAATTATGAGAGCAAGTAGGTAGATTTAACACAAACCAGTGAGTTTAGCCCATATGATATCCCCGGGCTCAAGTCCTTGCAGTCATCTAAAGAGGCAGCCAACACAACCATCTCATCATAATGATAGCCATCATTATCATCACTATTAACATTGCAACTAAGGTTCAAGCATCCCATCTCCTCCAAAGAAATACAAAACTTTATATTCTCATTTGAAAGAACCAAATCTTCCTGATCCCCATCTTCATACTTAACCTGCATCACATTTTGCCTACTATTAAAATGAATATCATTTTAAAGCACCAGCATAATAATTAAAACAGAAATTATATATATCTTAAAACAATTTAAATCATCAGATAAAAAGAAGAAAAAGGAGTAATAGACCCTAATACATAACAATTTAGCCAATTAAAAAGTACAAGAAGGGACAAGGGACATACACTATGTCTTGTATCCAATAACTCGACCCATATACTAGTCAACATCCAATGGCCAAAAGACCTGTACTCAACCAGTTTAATTTCAATTGGGGAAAAATGATTAGGCTACTAAAATTTAGAAACATAGAAGGATCATCTAAATCGTTCCTTGCACCGCAACCCAATGAATGCTTCAGGATGAACACCATCAAAACTCAACCTATTAAGGTCACAGCTTCTTCCATTAATTTAATCAAGAGAACCAAACAGAAAGAATAAATTAATGAGTTCAAAAAATAAGAAACTACATAAATTTCTTGCCGAGTTCTTAGAAACCATCAAACCTAACCTGAACCATTTTTTCTTTGTGATTGAACTAGATAAATCTTTCTCCAGATTCTTGGTACAATCTCGCTTTCTCTTCCTGAAGCTCCCATTATTTCCCTTATTAACATTGCTATTACTACGGCAATCCCTCAATTGCGGCCTTTCAAGCTCCCATAAAATAGTGGAATTAGAATCAATCCCTAATTTAACCAATTCACTGCTCCCAACTCTCCTCCTTTTATTCAAATGCCCACTCTGAAATTCAGGGAAATTGGAAGGTAGCAAGAGGATGAAATCAACCCAAATACTTGTCTCTTGAACGAAATCAACCCATGAATATAGAAGAAATGCAGAGGATTAGGAAGAAATCACCCGAAATCAACACAAAGTCACCTACTGACCACTTGTCGTTGATGGATTAGAGTTGAGCTTCTGAATTTTGCAGTTAGGTTCGAATGGGTTTTTGAGTTTTAGGAAAATCGATTCCAAATTTTGGAGATTTAGGAGGGGGACAGAAATACTTAGGCCTATGGAGCGAGGGAAACTCAGAATTTGGGGAGGGAAAATTGGGAATATGTGGAGGGAAGGGAAAATGTATACAGACGGCTAAAATAAAAGAGGAAAAAATCATGTTTAAGAAACAGTGAATTATATAGAGAGAGTAGGTTAATTTGTCTGTATACATAGATTTATATTAATGAATAATGATTATTGTTAGAATAATATATATATATATATACAGATGGATAATTAATAAACCATTTGTATAAACCTAATCTATACTAACAGATATATTTTTTCATTTGTATAGACCAATGTATACTAACTGCTTATGTTTTCCGTTGGTATTAACCCATGTATACTGACTGCTTATGGTTTTTGTTGGTATAGACCCATGTATACAAATGGATTTCAATTTGTCAGTATAGACTTCTGCTTGTAAAAGGCATTTTGCTTATAGTGGAAGGAAGAGGGGAAAGGTGGGAGAAGATAAGTTGAGAAGTTATTTGCTAATTCTATTTCTGTGTGCATATATATATAGATCAAATATATTCGACAGAAATTCTGTCGATTATATTTTAAAATGATTGTCGATTATGTTTTAAATGAAATTAACCACGAAATTTATCTTTTTTTGGGTGGGGATGGTGGTATGGGTATAATGGCTGTCGAATATAAAAGTATAATTGACAGCTAATTCTGTTGATTATACGTGGCTGTTGATTATACCCATATCGCCATCCCCACCCACAAAAAGTTAAATTTCACGGTTAATCTAATTTAAAACATAATCGACAGCTATGATGGCTGTTGATTATATCAAATATAATCAACAGCTATAATGATTGTTGATTATATCAAAATTTTATAGATATATATATATATTTATATTTAACCTTCCACTATTGATATATATAAATATTACATGTCTCATAAATCATAAATTTAGTAATAAAAATTTAACACTATCAAATATGAAATTATTTTTAACTAATGTTATACATATATCTATTTTGATTAAATTATTAATTATAACACTACATATTTATACTTAATTTAATCATTATATATACACAAAATATATATAATATTAGCTAAAAATAATTTCACATTTGATAGTGTTAAATTTTTATTACTAAATTTATGATTTATGTGACATGTAATATTTATAGGTACTAATAGTGAAAGATTAAATATTAATATATATATCTATAAAATTTTGACATATGTGTTGTACTTATGATTTTGATGATTGCAAAATACATTTTAGTAACTAATTGATTCATTTACATGTGTAGTTAAATTGCTAAAAGATTGCAAAGTAAGTAAACTAAGATTGCACTAAAAGGAACCAAAGAGGTTGGACATTGTGCAGAGAGCCAGCTTAAAGAGATCTACAACTGGCTCTAGAAGGCAAAAGTGCAGAGAGCCAGCTCTAAGTGTTACAGCCGACTCTACAGATGAAATTTTAAGCCCGAAGTTTGACGCATGTGGAAAACAGACACAAAATCAACTTTAACTTTGCAACTGACTGTGATGGTGCATTTAATGCATAATGATTGCGTTATTTGAAGATTATTTAATGTTTTTAAAGTCGAAATCCCAAAGCCAGCTTTATATTTTGCAAGCTAATGTGCAAGAAAATAGAATGTGTAGGAAAACTGCAAAGCCAGCTCTAAGAATCTAAGTTGGCTCTACGAAGAAAATAGAATGTGTAGGAAACCTGCAAAGCCAACTGTACGATTTTAAGTTGGTTGTGAAGAGTCAGCTCTAGACTTTAAGCTGGCTGTACTGACAAATCTGCAACTCGAAATTATGCGACCTGCAAAGCATTTAATGAACTCCAACGGTTAGAAACGATTATTTTCGACCATGGGGCTATAAATATGGTTGGTAGCAAAATTGGAATAAGTTTTAGAGCATTTTATTGAATATCTCTACCTATCAACTTGTGCTTTAACTTGTGTTCTTGATCTTTGAGTAAACTTTTCTTGTAATCCTCTTCTTGTTCTATTTGTGAGTGATCTTGGGGGTGTAATTATTCCTTCAAGAGTGATTTGTTGAGAGGATTGTTGGGGTTTAACTTGTAAAGGGGCAAGATTTGAGAGAAACACCCTTCTTCTTGTAAAAGGATTGAGTGACTCCTTTAAGCCATTCTTGTCTTTTTTAGTAGAAAGTGTGGAGGAAATCCTTGGTGAGTGAAGCCAAGGTAGAGGACTAGACTCCAAGTGGTTAGATCGAACCTCTATAAAATCATTGTGCAAGTTCTTCTTCTTTACTTTCTCTTTAATTTTTGTTCGGTGGTTGCAAAGACGTGAAAATTTTTCAACTTCAATTCACCCCCCTCTTGGAGTGCATTGAGCCAACAATATGGTTGTCGATTATACTTTTATATTCGACAACCATAATAGGTGTTGATTATACCCTCCATAATCGACAGAATTTTTGTCAATTATGTTTGTATAATCAATAGCTTTTTGGCTGTTAATTATATTTTTATCGATTAAATGTTGTTTTGTAGTAGTGTATGGCATAGCCATGTCCTATTAGCTTAGGCAATCCATTGATGATAGTAATTAAATGAAAAATAATTGATATACCCTCTAATTTGACATACTTTTTAATATTTATCTACTTTAGTTAATAAAATATGATATAAGTACAATCGATTTAGTAATTAGTTCTTGCATCCTAATGCATGATTGTATTTTTAAATTTATATGTCTTTAATTTCAAATAAAAAAATAATAATTTTTTTCATAAATATATTATATAATATGTTAATTTAAAAAGTATATCAATTAGTTTATCTAAATTGTAGTAAGGAAACTAGGAAGCAGGTCATATTGCTAAGCACAAAGCTAATGCAAACATTATAGCAATAGGTTGACACGGTCCCAGTTAGGGAAGCCACGGTAAAGGAAGCCACTTGACATTGTATGGGGTTAGAACTAGTGGCGGAGCCACGTTACGGCCGGGGGGCAGTGGCCTCCCTGGCTTTGGAGAAAAAAAATTAGTTTGTGGGTTTTTAAGTTTTGTAACTAAAGTAAATTTGGTCCTTTAATTTTTTTTATAATCACTTTTATCCTTAAAATTAATATTTCTTTTTTTTTTTTTGTCATTTTCTTGTTTATTGATTATTGATCTATTGGGAACATTAATTTGGGTACTTAGGTGATGATTATGAAAATTAGAAAATAGAGATGCTATAAAAGATGATGAAAAAATGAAGATTAATTAATTAAATTATGATGTTTACATTATTATCTTATTTTCAACAAGGGAAATGATTTTTATACAACCTTTTTGTTTTACATTTTTAAACAACTTGACGTGTCATTTAAATGATTGGTTCTTTTAATTCATGTGGTACTCGTGATATTGAATGCATCCACTCATTTAATGACATGTAGAAGTTGTATAAAAAAGTGATATAAAAAGATTGTCCCTATAGCACCACCATTTTCAACAATTGTTTCTTTTATGGTAGTTTGAAATATATTTTTTTATAACATTTAATCTTTGTTTAAGCCAATTTATTTTGTTAATGTGTCAAAATGAATGGAGTCACCATCTATCCAAATAAAGTGAGATAGATCACTAAAGTCTACACAGAAATTGACTAGAATTGGAAGGTCAGTTAAGTGTGGAAAAGGTGTTAAGTAGCCCACAACTTTCATATAAATATGATTATCACATACTTTAATTTGGGCTATTTTCAATTTTTTATAATAATCGCTAAAAAAATAAACAAAGAATCCAAATCCCTAAGATAACAACCCAATCCTATTTGGAATGGGATTTCTTAGTTCTTCCCACATCTACCCCTTTTCAAGTCTACATTCATACCTTTTATGCCTTAGAACCAATGTTGTCAATACCGTACCAGTATATGTACCAATTTTGCTACTGAAATATTACATACCAGAAACCAAAATTTTTCGTGTATCATTTTGGATTTATTAGTATAAATATATATTTTTATAAAAAAGATAAGTATTTTGTAACAAACAAAATATTAATTAAATTTTAATATGTTTAATTTTTAATTTAGGGTATTTAAATTTACTTGTTTATTTTAAGATGCCATATAATACATTTTTTTGTACTTTATCTTTATTTTAAAAAGATAGTTATAACATAGATTAAATAAGAAGATTTATTAAAATAATTATTAATTAAAAATAAATATTAAATCTTATTAATTAATTATTA